TGCTAATCGAGATGGAGCTGTACAGCACCGTATTCTTATGCTTACTGCGATCCCGGTAGACGTGGCTGCAGCCCAGCGAGGTTGTGGCTAGACCCAGCTAGAGGGTCACTGGCTTTGAGGCAGACTGAAGATGAAGCAGTATTTGCTCAGCCACGGCCTGTGGTTACTGCTTTATTTTCAGGTCAAGAGATGAAGTACTTCTTCTCTCCTCTTCCCTTTCTTCCTCCTCTGTCCTGGGACTTGGGATGCTGCTGCCTCAGCCTCCAGAGTGCTCTGATTGCAGGAGTGTGTCACCACACCGAGCTCAAGGGCTTTTTGAAAAGTTTGTAGAGCCCAGTGACTGTCACCCTTCCTAATGCTGTGACCCTTTAATACAATTCCTCATGTTGTGGTGACCCCCAGTCATCAAATTATTTTCATTGCTACTGTTGTGACTCATAATGTAAATATCTGACATGTAGGATATCTGATACGTGACCTCTGTGAAAGGTTGGTTTGCCCCCCAAAGAGGTCATGACCCCCAGGTTGAGACTGCTGGTCTAGAGCCTGTGAGATGGATCAGTGGGGTGAAGGATCTTCCCATCAGGTCTCATGATGGGAGTTTGATCCTCGGGCCTCACATGGTAGAAAATGAGACCCTTGTGCTATGTGTGTGGTGTGTGCAACCCCTCCCTCAAATCAAATGTTGATGAATATCATGGAAAATCCCCCACCTTTTGGGTCTTTTGGGGGACAGGGTCCCATGTAACCCAGACTGCTCCTGAATGACCTGTGTAGCCAACTGATGACCTTGAATTACCGGTCTAAGTATTAAGCCTTTATTGTTGTATACTTCTTTGTGCTGTACTGAGGCAGAAGTGTGTGGTTTTTTTTTTTTGAAACTAGGTTTCTCTGTATAGACCTGACTGTCCTGCTACTCTCTCTGTAGACCAAGCTGACTTTAACTTTGAACTCACAGAGATCCACCTGCCTCTGCCTCCTGAGTGCTGGGATTAAAGGCTGCACTACCATTGCCCAACCTTTATAGGTTTATTTTGTTTTATGTGCATAAGGATATTTTTAACTTAAATTTCGTTTCATGTACATGGGTATTTTGCCTGCTTGTATGTCTGTGTACCACTTGGCATGCCTGGAGCCTGCTGAGGCCGGAAGAGGGTGTCAGTTCCTGTGGACCTTGATTTGCAGGCTCTAAACTCTTGTCAGCCATTCAGGTTTTATGCAGTCTGTCCTAGTTCAGCTGACTTTATATCTTTATTTGAGAAAATAAATTAAATAACACATTTAAAAATTGTAAGGAAGTGGATGGTGATGATACACGCCTTTAATTCCAGCACTGGGGAGGCAGAGGCAGGCGGATCTGAGTCTGAGGTCATCCTGATCTACAGTGAGTTCCAGGATGGGCAGGGCAAGAATCCTTGTCTTGAAAAATCCATAACCAAAACAAACCGAAGCAAAATCCAAAAGCCCTGTAAAGAACAGCATTAAAAGTAACTCTGTGGAGACATGCAAGTTTTGAGCTTGTGTCCTTTGGCTCAGTGGGTGAAGGTGTCATGTGGATGCTGGCAGTCGAGCGTGCATCCTCTGCTCGAGCAACAGATGCTCTTAACCGCTGAACCATCTCCAGCTCGCTTGAGTTTTTTCTTTTTAATGGTCTTAATCTTTTTTTAGAAATCACGCCTTCCTTAGTCCCAGTTTTAAACATGCTCCCTTCTGGGCAAAATACAAGATTTTCAGATCTTTCTACTTCGTTTTTTAAAGTCCCCAGTTCTCACTAAACTTGTGGAGAAGCGGCCAGCAATAGTCTTGTCACAGCCTGGGTGCTGGCCTGCCCGGAAGCCCCTCCACCATGTTAAGTAGTTGTCCTCTCTTCATTTAGAGTTTTAATAGTCTCCCTATGTATCTCAGGCTGACCACAGAAATGCTCTGCCTCAGGCTCCAAGAGATGGGATTGCGGGCATGCTCCTCAGCCTCCGGCTGACCTGAGTTTCTTGCAGATACTTCATACCGTAATTTAATTCAAACTCTCCAGTACCCTTCCCTCCGTGCGTGCGTGCGTGCGTGCGTGTGTGCGTGCATGTGTGTGTTGAAGCCTGCAGAAGCAAAAGGTTAAGATCGAATCAGTTATTTTTGTTTATGGCTCTGTATTATTTTTATTATTATTATTATTATTATTATTATTATTATTATTATTATTTTGAGCCAATTTCACATTGAATCTGGAGCTTGCCATTTTGGTTGGCCAGAGAAACTCTGGAAACTACCTTTCTCCAGCTTCCCACTGCTGGGATGGATAGAGATACAAGCTGCTATGACCGTTTGGGCTCCAACAGTTATTCCCCACGTTCCCCACGACCTGGCACTGCAGGTACACGCCTCCTGCCTGGCTGCCTTGCTTGCTTGAAGAAATCTCTTGTATTTTCAGTTTACAGAGTTTTATCTTCATGTAAATAGCCAGGCCTGAAATCTATACTTTCTGGTACTTCTTACCTCACTTCCAAAGAATGACCAAGTTCTGTTGTTGTGCTCATTAAAAAATGTCTCTGAACTTGTCCTTTCTCTTCTATGTCCCCATGGCCAGGGTGGTGTTTGTCCCACCTTGGTGCTGTGGTGCCGAGTGGTCGTCCGTCCCAGTTACTCCCTTGCATGCACACTTCATTAGTCTTTTCCTTGCCTTCCTGAGCAAGTCCAGACCTCAGGGTGGTAAGTGATTTTGTCTCAGCCTGCCTGCTCTGACTGTGGCTCAGCTCATCTGGACACACTTGCTTTTGTTGGGGAAGCAGTGTGGGTTCCTGCAGATCCACCTGCCTCTGACAGTGCGTCTCCCTCCTTCACCCTGACTGCTTTCTGGGTCTTGGATAAAGATACCCAAGTCAGATGTAAGCATAGCTCAGGCTCTTGAATGTGCTAGTTGTTCACAGTTGTCCCTGGGAGGGGTTAAATACGACATTAGTCCTCAGTGTAAGAGAGCCCAGTAGTGAAGAAGGCGAGATGCTGCTGTCCGCACACTGCCATGCATCTCCGGGGGATGGAGACCAAGGGAAGACAGCACAGCCTCCTGAATTTAACAAGCCATGGGATTTTGTTCAGGGATTCATGAGTCCTCTCTTCTGAGATTTGGAATGGAAAGATGCTTGAGTCACAGCATCAGAAAGAAAGCTGAGTCACGCTCTGAACGCAGGCCCTCATGCTTGGTCAAGCAAGAACTCTGAATTTGTGCTGTCTCTCTAGCTCAGTGGTTCACAGGGTTGCAACCTCCTTGAGAGTAGTGCAAGCCTTCCACAGGGTGGCATATCAGAGATATACATTATAATTCATAGCAGGCGCAAAATTACAGCAATGCAGTAGCAACGAAAATAGTTTGATGGTTGGGGGGGGTCAGCACAACATGAGGAACTGACTTAAAGGGCTGCAGCATTAGGAAGGCTGGGAACCACTGTTCGAATTCTCCTAATCTTGTTCTCAGATGATTTAATCCAGTTAAGTAAACCTAAACTAGCTACTATGTGAGCTGCTCAGGTTTAGGGTGAAGGGAGGGGCTGGTATGTCTGCAGCACAGGCAGCAGGAGGAGCTGCTTCGTTTTGGGCAGAGGACTCAGGACATTTCCTTGGTCTGAGAGTGATAAAAGGAGCAGGAGTCCTGCCGTGAGAGAGTGACACACATCCTAGGTTCAAGTGAGTTTGTCCTTGTTACCGTTTGCCGTAGTTGAGGCTTTTTATCTTCCGTATTCCTGGTAGGAGTGTATCCAGGGTCTGGCTTCTTTCTGTGATGCCCGCTCACATCCAGCAGTTGTCGTACTGGTGCATAGCCCGGGTGAGGGGTGGTGGTGGGTGTTGGGGGGGTGGTTTGTGACCCTCTTGCCTAGTTGTCAGTCACCGAAATGGGAAGCATGGCTGTGATCCGCTCTGTGTATTTTCAGTCCTTGGTAGCTGGAGTGCTTGGGGAAGAAAGGCAGACTATATTTTCTTTTTGATCATATGTAAAACAGCAAGAAAAGCAGCCTAAATATTTTGCTCTTGAAGCATATAAAATTTATGTCTTTTGTTTCTCCTTTTGGATGAAGTTGACTTTTATTTTAATTCTTTTGGATTTATTTTTATTTTGTGTATGAGTGGTTTTTTTTTTTTTTTTTTTTCTGTTTGTTTTGTTTTTTGAGGCAGAGTTTCTCTGTAGCTTTGGAGCCTGTCCTGGAACTTGCTCTGTAGACCAGGCTGTGGGCATTCCTCACTGAGCCTTGTCTTGGCTGCCCAAGCTTGAACCCACATGAAGCCAGACGCAGTAGTGGGCCCGGTGCTTGTGAGGGCTGCAGTAAAGAAACTGCCTGGAGGAGCACTCTTAGGGGAAGATTTTTTTGTGCGTAAGAGAGAAAATAGCCAGGCCATCTAGAGGAGTGCCGAGTGGAGAAGAAAGCAGCCTGGACATGGGCAGGCTAGAGAAGTTGGAGAGCGGGGTGGGGTGGGAGACAGCAAGAGAGTGTGGGGCGGACAGATCATACAGATTACATGAGGCCAAGTAGCTGGAGGGGAGGGACTCCTTTTGGGGATAGAAAACCCGTCTTATCAGTTCCTCAGGAGCTCTGACTTTTATCTGATCACCAAAAATACTGTAGGTCAGTTTGAGTTTATTTCTAGACATGCAGGGGTGCGAAGTGGGGGGTGAAGGGTTGCGGTGGCTGAGACTTCACAGATTCCCTAGAGGAAGGGAGGGCAGCTTGCAGCGGGGAACAGCAAGACCCAGGTTATACTAGGAGAAGGTGAGGGCTATGGCTTGGGATTGGCCTCGGACTTCTCACGTTCAGACTCACCTGCACAGCAAACACAAACCAAAACCTAGAGTACTGGCTTTGCCTCCTGACTTTTCTCAGTATATTGGTTTCGAGGACTGTTGGGCTGCTAAGCCTGGGAATGGTTGTTGATGTCTTTAGTACATGGATGTCATTGTTCTTACAATGTTTGTTATCTGCTTTTAGTTACAGAATGTCCTCTCTCTTTCCCTTTTGTAGATTCGCCGGAGGCGCCTGGCACGACTTGCTGGTGGACAGACCTCCCAACCGAGCACCCCGCTTACGTCTCCCCAGAGGGAAAACCCTCCGGGACCTCCAATACCTGCATCAGCCCCAGGCCCTTCCCAGAGTCTTGGTCTCAATGTCCACAACATGACCCCAGCTACCTCCCCCATAGGTGCAGCAGGTGAGCCTCAGCCTCTGACCTGGAAGCAGTTGTACCTCTGATGTCATCATCCCAATGTTACCACACAGATTAAAACAATCAGTGGCCTAAAGGTCACTGCTGCGTATTTCACTGTTTCAGTTCATTTTGATAGTGACCGGAGAAGACTTGCAAAGTCATTCCTCTCCCAACCCCCTCCCAGCTCTACCAGCAGGCTCAGGTCTGGCCTTTGGAGCTGGCCAAGACTGAATTTGAGTCTCCTGGTTTTGTGAATTTGGTTGATGTGTCTCTCCTCCACCCCATTCCTTCTCTAATAGCATGTGCTTTACCCCAGTCCTCTGTCATCTCTTAATGTACTCTAGGGGCTGGGGAGAGAGCTTGGTGGGTGATTCCTGCATACGTGTGAGGACCCACATTCTTATTCTCTGGACCCTTTTAAAAACTGGTTCAGAGATTCATGTCTGTAACCCTAACACTGAGTAGGCAGGGACTTTTAAGACTCATGGCCAGCCAGTCTAGTCAATAGGTAAATTCTAGGTTCAGTGGGAGGCCCTGTCTCAAAAAAATAAGAGGAAGACAGCCATCATCGACTTTGGGTTCTTTTTGAGACAGGGTTTTTCTGTGTAGCCCTGGCTGTCCTGGAACTCACTCTGTAGACCAGGCTGGCCTCAAACTCACAGAGATCTGCCTGTGTCCTGCCTCCTAAGTACTGGAATTAAAGGTGAGCGCCACCACCAACTTTTGACTCATGCTCGTGGGCACGTGCATGCACTCAGAAACAAACAAAAAAATTGTTTGCAAATGCAAGATTGAAATAATGGTCAAATAGCGACACTCTTGTCTTTGGGCTGCGTTGGCACAGACTTTTCCTCTAAATTACATCGGGTGCCAGACATGCTGTGGATGGCAGAGCACCTGCCAGCATGTGTGAGGCCCAGACGTGCTGTGGATGGCAGAGCACCTACCAGCATGTGAGAGGCCCAGGGTTCAGTCCCCAGCTCTCCAGGAATCAGCTCCACCTGTATATTTGTAGCCGTCTTCTGGGGAGCTGCTTAACTCTGGTACAAGTTCTTTAAAATAAATGAGCTCCTAGGTGGGCAATGTTCAGGGTCTTTTCCTTCTTAGGAAAAGATGATATCCACTCACACGTGTGCCTGGATGTATTTTCTCACATGACACTTCTATCAAACATGGTAATCTTGTAGTTTTCGCAGTTACCGAGACGACGCAAAGGTGCTATGTAAGCTGTTTGTGTCGTTTATAATAATCTGATCTCCAGCTCTGTGAGCTCTGCCGTAGCCACCCAGAAGCCCCCTTTCTCTTGAAACCTAAGAGCATTTGCAGTTTCTGTTGCCTTGGGTCCTTAACCCTCAGTGGCGGCTTCTCGGTGTGGATAAACTGTCCATCATTCTTGTAGTGACAACAGGAAGAACACCTGTGTGAGCGCGTGGGCTGATAGCTGTGGCAGTTTGCAGATAAGCATTCAGGATTCCGGGACTAAGTTGTCTTTTCCTTGGGAAATGTGCTCATAACTGTACTGCCTCCTTGCTGTGTCCGGCCATCCCTGCAGTTCTGGGATTTGTTTTTCTTGCTAGGTTGTAGCACAGTTGTGGTTACATCCGTTTCCCACCTACTGTCTGCCCCCTGCCCTGGAGCAAGGCTGGAGGAGAGCTCACACAGCCACGTGGTCTGGCCATCTCATTTAGAATCCATGATCACAAGTTTAAGTAGACCCAACATGTCCAGGCAGCTATGCCATGCTTCCCTGTTTACTTTTCCACTCTGCTACCAAGTGTGCAACACCTCATTCTCCATGCACACTCTCAGTGTGTGGAGGAAACACACATGCAGAAGGGAGCCTGTATAAGCTTCATCATGGCTTCCATCTGGCCCCTATTCTTGGTAGGACACACTATGCTGCCTCATCAGTGCTTGTACTTGTGATACCATGTCCTATCACCGCACAAAGCTTCGCTTCTCATGGCTCCTTTTCCTTCTAGTCTGGGGAGGTTTTGTACCCCAGGTGAGCTTTCGCTAGCTGAGCCAAGACATCGCAAGCATGTGCACAGTGAGGTGCTTCTCCCTTCGACACCTGTTAAATGGAGCTCGTTTCTCCCATTTCTCTGCAGCTCCCACACATCTCCAGTCTTCTGGAGCAAGTACCCTGGTCCTCCATCTTTTGCTCTTGCACCCTGTGCAGACCTGAATGAGTGTGTGGTGGGAGCTCTGCTGAGTCCGTTTATCTCTGTCAGCCTCACTTGGTGGCTTCACCCTCTCTGATTTGAAACACCGTTAGCTTTCAGAAGATGATCTTGTCCTGGTCCCCGTCCTCTCTGTTCTTTTTCAGTTCCTTGCAGGATTCCTTTCCCTCCCCTGATGTCTGCCAGCAGAATGCCAGGGTTCACTGTTTAAACTCTTGGTCTCTTTATCTTGCTTATTCATTTAATTGATCTCATCTTGTTTCTTGCCTTTAATTATTGCTTCCAATTTGATAACTTCTTAGTTTACATTTCCAGCTCTGACCTGTGTCTTGAACTTTAGACGCTAGTGACCCATTTGACTTCACTTTCATGTCTAACTGGCATCTCTTCGTTCAAACGTTAGAAGTGATTTCTGTGTGTTTGCATGTGTGCATGTACAGGTATATGTGCACATGCCTATTCCTGTGTGTGGAGGCCAGAAATGGATGTCAGCTGTCCCACCTTATTTTATGAGAACTTACTGAACCAGAGCGTGTGAATTTGTCTAAACTGCCTGGCCAGCGAGACCCCGAGGTCCTCCTCCGCTCTGGAATTGCGGCTGCGCACTGCTACCCCTCGCTTTATGTGGGTCCTGGAGATCCGAACTCAGGTTCTCCTGCATGCACGGCAAGCACTCCCAGCTCTTGAGCGTCGAGTTTAGGGGTGCTGAGATGACTTAGCAGGTAAATGTGCTTGCTAAGCAGACTCGATGACCTGAGATCAAACTCCAGAACCCATATAAAATTGGAAGGAAAGAACTGGCTTCACAGGGTGACCCTTTGACCTCCCTACACATACTGTGGTGTGAATGAGTCCCCTCCCCCATCATAATAAAATCAGGTTTTGATATTTTCTCATATCTTACCCAGACCTACAAACTAGAAAATCAAAATTAGGCCTGGCAAGACAGCTCAGCAAGTAAAGGTGCTTGCTGCCGATCCTGACAGCCTGAACTCAGTCCCCTGGACCTACAACACACACACACACACACACACACACACACACACACACACACACACAGAGTAGCAGCCACCACCCCCCCACTCCGCAAATAAGGTGATTCTTAAAAAGAAGAAATAAAACCCAAACCAATCAAACAAAATGTCTTTAGTGTCCTTTTCTCAGGAAAACTCTTTGGCCGCTATCTGAAATCGCACACATTCTAATGTAGCACTATTCCTTTCAGCTCTGACCTCCAGTCTGCTTGTCCACCTTGAGTTTTCTTGTTTTGATTTTGAGACGTAGTATTGTCTATAACACAGGCTGTCGTCAATCTTGAGATCCACCTGCTTTTACCTCCTTAGTGCTGGCTTTCCATGCCCACAGGACCATGCCTGGCTGTGTGCCCTGTCTCGTCTGCCTCCCCTGATGGGGTAGAAACTCCCTGGGTCAGGAAGTTGTACTTGTTTTTGCTCACTTTTGTATCCCCAGTGCTTCACCAGAGCCTGGCATAGAATTTAAGATGGGGTGAATTAGTGAATGAATCACCAAGAGGAAATGACCAAACAACATGGGCTTATGTAGTTTAAAGAAATTCCCAGAAATTATGACAGTTGTCATTTTAAAAATGAAGAGTTGCCAAGTATGGTATGCCTTTAAACCCAGCACTTGGAAAAAGGGGTGGGTATTTCTCTAAGAATTCATGGCTAGCCTGGTCTACATAATGAGTTCCAGGCCAACCAAGGCCATATAGTGAAATCCTGTCTCAAATATAAATAAGTTTAAAATAAAGAAAAGCTGACTGGTTGTGGTGGTGCATGCCTTTAATACCCATACTCAAACACACTCACCCTATACACACATACCCATACTCACACACATTCACCCTATACATACATACCCATACTTGCACACACACTCATCCTATACACATATACCCCTACTTGCACACACACACACCCTATACACACATACCCATACACACACACACACATACTCGCCCTATACACATATACCCATACTTGTACACACCCTACACACACAGGTGAATAAACATAAAATTTTAAGAATGAAAATGAAAAGTTGGAAGAGGCTAAGGCAGGAGGATCGTGAATTCACAGCCACCCTGGACGGTATGTTGAGACCATCTCAGAAAGAAGAGGGAAGTTGCCCTGTGGAAGTGATTGCTTGTGTGTATTCCCTGCCAACCTGAAAACTGGTCTAGAACCAGAGTTCTGGTATACAGCTGTGAAGGAGAGATTTGCATTTCAGAACGAAGAAATGTTTTCCCCTTTAGAGTTAAGTCTATAGGTCTGTGAGAGAGCACTTCCTAGCATGCGCTAGATCCTGCATTCCAGCAGCCCAGACACAACGCGTGTCCATAGAAAGCTCCATTAGTGTTAGCCGGCTCACTGTGGCTGTAAACAAGAAGTGTTCACGCCCTTGCTTCCTCCTTTTCTCTGCTGCTTATTTATTTACTTAAGATTTGGTTTATTGAGAATGGGTTTCACTATGTAGTCCTGGGTAGCCTAGAACTTGAAGAGTAGACCAGGCTGGCCTCTAATGTACGGAGACCCTCCTGCCTCTATCTCCTGAGTGCTAGGATTAAAAGTGTGGTTGTGCCTGACAAGATTATTTTAAATCATGTATGTATGTATGTATGTATGTATGTATGTATGTATGTGTGTGTGTGTGTGTGTGTATGTATGTATGTATGTATGTATGTGTGTGTGTGTGTATGTATGTATGTGTGTGTGAATATGTGCACGTGTGTGCAAGTGCCCACAGAGGCCAGAAGAGGGCATTGGGTCCATCGGTGCTGGACTTACAGGTGGTTGTGAG